TATATATATATATATATATATATATATATATATATATATATATATATATATATAATAAATAATAGAAACGGTTTAGGGCCACAAATTGATCCCAGGGGCACAACACAAGTGATGTACTGTCTTCTAGATGATTTTTTGCTTTAGAGGTATTTTTTAATTTATTTCTTTATTTTTACGGCGCTAGTGGCTTGTTTTTATGGACAGTAGGCTGACAGTAAAGGGTGTATGAGAGAGGGGGAGAGACATGTTGGAAAAGACCACAGGCAGGATTCAAACCTGGGTCGGCCACGTCGAGGACTAAGGCATCTATACATGGGTTGTGTGCGCTAACCACTGCGCCACCAAAACACGCCCCCTTTAGAGGTATTTTACCTTAACAATACAACTAATAACAAAATGAAATTGAGGACATTCTAATCATTTGGTTACTATAAAGACATAAATGCAGATCATTATTTTCTATATCTTTTAAATCTTGTCTTACTGTATTTTGAATTTAGAGTCTTTATTTAATATGATAGGTTGATTTTGAGCTTCTCAGAGAGAGCTTCAAAATGTAAAAAGACTATTCTGTCTATTCTGGACCTTAAGTCAGAATATCCATGCCATCTTTCTCATTTTAAAGCAAGCAATTTGATTTTTCAATCTCATCTGCAATCTAATTTAATTAATCTAATTAAGACTAGTATTTGTTAATCTATATCGTTTTGCTAAACTATGTGTGGAAATACGCAGCACATTGAGAGCAGCTATAAGATGGTGAATACAGTCAGCAATTAACCTTGTCAACTGAAAACCAACAAAGGTGGGAATAGCCTTTCATTCAATGAAATAGAATTGCTGTTCAAGGTCCTGATTGACTGGCCTGGATACAGACCCTGCACCGACAGTTAGGGAAAACTTGCTTAAATAATACTATTGTAGTCTAACTTCTCTAAATTGAATTCCTTTCATTTACGAATTTTCCAATTATTTTCTCATTTAAAATTATCTGTTATGTGCAACTGATGTTTGCTTTCCTTAAACTAGAGACACATCGTTACAATACTTTGCTTAAAAGTGCTAAATTTTATAGTTACAATGTGAATGTCGACTCCAGTGATAAAATAATTTATCTCTTTTGTATTGCACATAAGCTGCAGCGCTTCCGAGAGTGCAAACAGTGACCAACAAACAGGAAACATGGGGTGTGATTTTGCAGATAGACCCCTGATGTCATGGCTTTTGTTAAGTGATCAAAACAAGTTTTGTAGTTATGAACATCTCAGTTTTTGCAGTGCTCACAAAACAGGATGTTGTAGTATCCTTTAAAAAATAAATAAATAAAAAAAGCTTTCTGGCAGAGGGACATCATTGAGCCCCTGACTGGATTTGAAGGCTCTAACTAGAGATGCAGGACTCAGAGATTTAATAAATGCATAATTAAAAGTAGGATATCTAAAAAAGATAGAGATGCCATTTATGAAAATATTATCTGCAAGTAAACAAGAATTCCAGAAATTATTAAAATAATTTACATGTGGGATTACTTCAGGCATGTAGCCTATTTTCAAAAAATGATAAGCTTAGGTTACAAGATTCATAAAATCAGTTACATCAAACAAATCTATATTATTTCTTGATGTATTTCTATATTTTACACAAATGTTTATGGAGCAACGGATATCAAACAAACTAAAAAGATCATGTTACAGGAGTGCTAGATTCCACGTGTATTGACACGTAGGACAGTATTAGGCAGCCGTATATATGCTGTCAAATTTAACAGATGACAAATAACAAAAACTAGTTAGCTGCAACCCTCGCCTGAGGACCTGGGCTCTGCCACTTCAACAAAGTAGGCTGTACTTTCTTGCATTACAGTATATTCAAAGTAAATGTTTGACAAACTAGATGTATAAAATCAGAATTTGTACTCACCTTAGTCAGTTACTGCCAATGCTGTTGGAGCAAAGCACTGCAGCTGTCCACAACCTCATCGCTCAACAAGCCCCAGGAAAGCCAGAAAGTACTAGGTCTCTAGTATGATCAAAATGAAGCCCCAGGAAAATGAAAATACAAAGGTATATGTGCATGGAAAAGGTCTCTCAAGAGCCCCAAGGCTTTTGAATTACAATGTTAAAGGTTTGATGATAAAGCCATGGCAGGACTAAATAAATTTCCTGAAGAGAGCTGGTATCACAGTTTCTGAGAGGACCATTTGCATCCTGTCACAAAGGGTTAAAGTTCTGAAGTGCACACAAGTTGCTCCTGCTTATTTCAGCATGTTAAGGCCCCTCTGGAATCTATTAAAGACTATCTGGTTGTCCAGATGAAGAATATGAGAAGCTGGGTGGTCTAATGATGCATAAATGTAGCTTTTTGTTCATATATTTTGGTGCAACGCAAAGAACATCATCCCTTATCTGAAGCATTGTGCATTATTTTTTGTGGATGTTTTTCTGTAAAGGGAACAGGACAACTTCACCATACTGAGGGGAGGACAAATGGGCCGATGTATCAGGAGTTCTTTGCTAACAACTTCCTTCAACAACCGGAAACACACAGTGAAGGAAACTAAGGATTAGCTCCTTAGGAAGCATCTCAAGGTCCTGTGGTGGCCTCGTAAGTCTTCAAATATAAAACAAATTCAAAATCTGTCCAATGGCAGCCCCAAAACCTAAATTATATCTGATATATGTTATAATAAGTAAAGCTTTCTGTACCGAACCTTTGTTTTAATGATGTCATAATCTTGGCACTGATGCCTGATCTGATTTATATACTCATTTCACACACCTGCTTTACTCCACCCAGTTCTTGTTACCTGCTTATCTGATCCACCTGTACTATCTTTAACTTACTCTTTAACTAGCCTTCAGAGCCAGAATATTTTCAATCCATTGGTGAGAAGTTTTCTAGCGTAACTATATTCTGATTACCTGATCCTGACCTGTTCTGCCTCTTGCCCTCTGAGCCTGCCTGTCCCCATCTGATCTGTTTACCTGCCTCTGACTCCTGCCAGATCTCTGCCTGTCTGTGTACTGAATTTGGACCTATTAGCCGACTCTGTTCTGGATTCTCTCTCAGTACCTCACTGGATCTCTGACGTCCTGGCTCTGACAACCAAGCACGTCAACAACATTCACTTCACCCTTTGGATTATCTTGCCAACCTTCGTTTGGTCAGATTTTATCTCTTGCCTGTCCTCCAAACTATGATACATCAGCATTTGGGACTTTAATTGTGCCAAGCTCCATGCTGCGTTGGCAGCTGACCACCTGTGACCAACCTCACCCTCTGGGCTTGGACTGAATTATAAGAACAGGTTAGTGACTCCCATGTATGTTATCATCCACTTCCAGAAAGACATGGTCACTAACCTTTTTTCTCCTCTTGTAGAGGTTCCTCCCTTAAATGCCGACGCTGCTCACTTTGGTTCTGTTTCCAATAAACGCTTTGAGAAATCTGTCTGTCCACCTCGAATACTCGATCCAACTTTTCTGAGCCTTGACAGATAAACGACACCTTTTCCAGCTCTGCTGAGGGGTGGCACTCCCAGGCCAGAAAAGAGACATAGTCCTCCCACTATGTCCTGGCTTTTCCCTTGGGCCTTCCCACGATGGTAGGTGCCAGGAATACTTCCCAGGAAGGTGTCCAGGGAGCTTAGATGTCATCCCCACCTCGGTGTACTACACTCGATGTGAAGAGCCTATCTTTACGGGAGTGACCAGCTACCCTGCAGAGAAAATTCATATCAGCTGCTTGTTTCTGGAATCTTCATACAATGTGATTACAGATGACAGTCAGTTGAAGAAAACTTAATGATTAAAGTGAAAGCCTTCTACATACTTTGCAAATTAGGGAAACCTGCAAAACCAGCAGATTATCAAATATGTGTTCTCTCCACTAACCAGAATTTATTCCACCTTTTAAAGGTAAACCATATTTTTCATAACTTACAGTTAAATATGCAAGACAAGACAATCTGAAAGATTGTGTCTGTGATTCAGTCACTTTATTTCATCCTGTCTTTTTTATATCAGTTGGAAGATTTTCCTGCTATCCAATGCGAATCTTCAAAAACCTGATTCCATGTGCTACAAGTAAAATGAAAGCAACAGTCGGCTGAATTCAAACATGTGACAAATATGGTTTTCATTGTGTTACAGGATATCTGTTTGTCAGATGAGTAGAATAGGTCAATTGAAATGTTGAAATGTGTTTATTATATATAAACAACTTTTTTATAGTTATGTTTAAAAGGAAAGTGTACACATTCTGTCTTATGTTTTAATGTAGGAAAGAGGGGTTTTATTATTTCCACTGTGGTTGTAGAGGAGTGAAACCTCATGATTAAAAAGGCCAATCAGGTTGTTCTAAAATTTGTTCACTCCCACCCTGAAAGTTTATATTAGGAGGGTTCATAGTATGATTTCGCCTGTTAGTTAGATGTAGGTTGTATAGTGGAATCAAAGAAAAATGCTGTTCCTATTTTATACGCTGCTGCTCATGCTTAATTTTGGATGTAAGTATTCTTAAATATAGATTAGTTATTGGAGCACCATGATTTTTACATGTAAAATTAAGTTATTGCTTTTTTAATACTTAGAATATTTGTGGGTTAATTTCCAGTTTGCACTGAAGATTTTAAGTTTAAGGTAAAGACCGTCACTGCTGGACAAAACGTCACCCTGACATGCCCTCGTCAGACCGCTACTCTCTACCAAGAAACTTTGTACTGGATCCGACTGGTTTCTGGAAACTGGCCTGAATTTCTGGGCGCAACATTTAACTTTGAGTTTGATGAAGTTTCAAAGATTCCTTACATTGAGACAAAACAAGACCAAGGAGAATTCCTTCTTCATATTAATGAAGCTCAACAAAATGATACTGGACTTTATTACTGTATTAAAGTCAGACAACTTGACTTTATATTTATGAATGGAACATTTTTAAAGATTAAAGGTAACATTTCAGTTTAAGATTAATAGCTACATATTTTTATTCATATCACAGTATTTCTTTGCCTGTTGTGAGGGTGCAACTTTTTTTTTTTCAGGAGATAAATCAGATGTAACTGCTGTTCTTCAGAAGCCTCCATCTGGTCCAGTCTATCCAGAACTTCCAGAGGCTTTACAGTGTTCAGTTCTGTCCAACTCAGAGAGGTCAACATGTCCAGCAGATAACAGAGTGTACTGGTTCAAAGCTGGGTCAGATGACTCTCATCCTAATCTACTTTATTTACAAGGAAACAGTTTAGATGAATGTGAGAAGATTTCTGAAGCTCCATCGATACAAAAATGTTTCTACAACTTCTCTGAGACTGTAGACCCTGGAACTTATTACTGTGCTGTGGCTGCATGTGGTCAAATATTATTTGGAAATGGAGAAAAACTGGAGGGTATCTAGAGAACCTTTCTAAACAAAATGATTATTAAATAGTTAATGATTCATAGAATTCCAAATTAATCATCCTTCTTTTTTTTCTTTAAACTTTGTAGGTGCCAATGTACAGGATTTTTCCAAACTTGTCCTTCCATCATTATGCGCGGCTTTGGTGATAAATCTGGTTGTAATAGCTGGGCTCATTTATAAAATTAAGAAGAAAACCTGTGGTTGTTGCAATGGTAAAGCAAGTTTCAAATTTTTGATTACCTAAGTAATTATTTATAGGTTTCTGGATTCTTATAATTCAATGTTTGGTCACTCTGCAAACAGATCCTGTGCTGAAGATTGGTGAGAACGTACAGGTAAGGTGACAAAATATTTTTGTACATTATATTTAGTTATGTTTAGTAAAGATTATTATTAAACCTTAAATTTATTACATATTCCTTTCAGAAGGATGAAAACACTCTGGTTTATTCTGCCCCTACGTTTAAGAAGAATAAAGCTAATAAAGTGGAAAGAAGAAATGTAAAAACAGCGCAAGAGGAAACGGTCTACACGGATGTTAAAACATTTTATTAGATTTAGTTTAAAATATTGTGGATAATTAAATTTAGTTGTTTTTTTGTTTTTTTTAATGGACCAAAAGTAAAATCCATAATGTATATATCCAAAACGCTTTTGTAAATCTTACAGTGCATCAGAGATTTTAGAAATAGTAATATAAACAATGTATAATTATTAACTTCTTAAAGGTAGAAGATGGTGTAATCCCTAACTTTTCTACTCGATTTTTGGACGTTTGTGATTCCTTTTTTTTTTGTTTTTATCTTAATTGTTTTTTTCTTAGTTGCTTTTGAGAAAACAAATCTAAACAAGAAAAAGGTTGGAATAATAAAACCTGCATTAAAGACTTAACTTTTGTTTAAACTACATCGTTGATGTTTTTTAAACAATTTTTATTATGGTAAGAGTTGGTCATTTTAGACTGAATTTGTTGCACAGTTTACAATATTTATGTATCATGCAGGGGTGATCGTTTTATCAAAAAAATATTTCTTTGAACTGATATAGAATTTAGAGAATAGAAATTACCTGTACTGTACCTTATTTGGAACATTTTACACAACCTAGCAGCAAAGTAATTTTTGAGTGGAATGAATGGCAACACGGATAAAAAATATGCAAACAAAAACAATTACTTTCCTGACAATGTCTCTCTCTCAGGGAAAGATGAATCAGTAAACTTTGAGGTTGCAGAGATATTCATTATAGTAATTCCTGTTGTGAGATACTTAATAAATAGTAAACTATAAAATGAGATGCAAAAACAGTATTTATTTTCTTTCAATTTAACTGAGAACGCTTTGCTGTTTATTTAAGCTGAGCCTTAGTTAGTGAAGGCAATTCTCAATCACATAAACACAGTTACAAACGGAGGAAAAGGGAAGTGTGTAAAGCACAAGCATAATTGTTATGCTGTTTTAAAAATAGTGACAGCAGTTTTTACAAAGCTTTCGACTCTTAGAATTTAATATGTGCCTCTGCATTCATTTTCTCCTCAGTGTTTTCACTATTAGGCTACATATCTGATTTGGGGAGTCAAATTTCTAACAAAAACACCAAAACACCAAGTTTTCTGTTTATTTATGCTGATTTCAAACCTTTTTGAAAATATTTGTTTTTTTTTTTTATTGTTTTTTTTTTATTATT